CCGTGAAATGGAATGGTTGGCATCTTTTAGCACATCAAATTTTGGATGGGATTTGGCATAGTTTCTGTGTAATGCGCATGATCGAGGCGGTTTGAAAAGCAGTCTGGGAATTTCTGTGATGGTGCTTTCATTTGGTAGGCAGCCCCCCCCACCCTCCCCCCTCCTTTTGCGTTCATTTTGTTGGTAATGCGTGTCTTTAGACATTGTATTCTTTTAACATTCGTAAATTTAAATGTTATCAAGCATGCGCCGCGTGTTTCGGTTCTCGCACATGTGAGGCCGCATGCTCAACATGTTTTGCGCAGATGTGGCCCTTGAAAAAGGTTGTTCTGGTTATAGTGCGGTACCGCTTATAGTCCGTACATTCACGACTCCCGCGACTTACGTTATAAGCGGTCTATACCAAAAATATACAATATGAGAAAATTCCTATTTTTTTGCAGCAATAGAAGCTACACCTAAAGTACAAGCGTCGTTGCCAGACAGGCCATTTGCGTTCCACTTAATAGCACACAAGTTCCTTGATCTGAACACATCAGAACAAGTTCAGAGTTCCCTGCCACCACTGTCAGCAGGTGTGGCCTCGATAGCAGGTGAGACCATTTTTACTCAGTACTAATGTGTGATATCATTGGACCCAGAAGCTATAAAAGGGCAGTTTGCCAGCAGCCGATACTATAGAAGGAACAAGCTTAGCTTTGATGCTGCTTTTGAGTTCTGCCTTGGTAAAACTTGCGGAGACTTCAAAACCTATTAGGTTGGTAATTCCATTTTTTAAAAGTGTGCAAAAAAGGAAAGAAAAAAAAAAGAATAGAATGAAATCAAATTCCTTTAGAGCATACAAATAGGCCCTGTGCACACATATCGGCATTCATTTCTGAAGCACAAAAAGATAGGCGTAACTTTTGGATCTTGTGCTCATGATAGTTCAAACATGCACGCACAGATGTGGAGGTGTCCGAAGGTGTCAGCAACACACATATCAAGAGCCCAGTTGCATGTTTTTTTTGAAAAAGTGAGAAACTTTCTAATGGTGCAAGACATAGGAGAAATACTTTTTCTTGATTCAAAAACTCATATGGGTAACCTTGACAATAGCCACAAGCTTTTCGTTCTTAGTACCCATGTCATTAGGCTCATTAGTAAGTTAATTAAAGTAGTTTGCTAACTAATAGTGAAATTGAAACACAACTTACCTTCCAATATTCACTAAGCCTGATAATTAAGTTTTAATTGAATTGCATGCTTACCTCATGGCCTCTTTTTTTTTTTAAAGCAGTTTGGTAGTCATTGGAGAAACAGTTGGTATTTTAGTTTCCGTATGTCATCGGCGCCATGTGAAAATTATAACTACAGAGGTAATTGATCTGTAACAGTTGCTGCCCTTTTTCAAGGCGCAAAACAAGCCAAGCCACTAAGTCATAAAAGCAGCATTTGTACAATTTGTAGCGCAGGACTTAGGTGCAAGCAAAGGAAGTTCACTTATGTGTTTAGCAAGAACACGAATTTTAAGGGTGTGCAAATATTCGAAATTTTGAATATATTTTGAATAGGCATTTGCTACTTGATTCGATTCACACTTCAATGTTTACTATGCAAATTATTCAAGTTTCGCAAACACAAATGCAGCCCCGTCACGGTGGTCTAGTGGCTAAGGTTCTTGGCTGCTGACTCGCAGGTTGCGGGATCGAATTTCTGCTGCGGCGGCTGCATTTTCGATGGAGGCAAAAATGCTGTGGGCCCGTGTGCCCAGATTTGGGTGCATGTTAAAGAACCCCAGGTGGTCGAAATTTCCGTAGCCCTCTACTACGGCGTCTCTCATAGTCATATTGTGGTTTTGGGATGTTTAACCCCATTATTATCAAATCAAAAGCAAACACAAATGCAATGATCGTCCGATTAAATGCTACTCCTTCACACTTGTAATGTGCTTCATCTCATCACACTGTGGTATTGTGCAAAGCTGCTTTTCAAGCTCTTCTACTGTCTCAAATCTATTGAATCAAGAAAACGCTGGTTCCAACATGGAGATTATAGATGTGGCAGTGGTGGGGGCTCAATCAATTTCGGCAGGAAGTCTGAAAAAAATGTGATGCTGAAGATTGTTAGCATACAAAATTTTGAATGTTCTTGTATGTTGAGGTCTATGAGGCAGGTTTGGAACTTCTAACTCTAAGGGAGCCCGATGTTGTATGCCATATCAGTTGGGTTTTCATGAAAGTTAAAAAAAGGAGGAGAGGATGAGAAAATAGCATCTTTGCCTTTCTTGTGTAAGTGTAGCCGGAAACACTTTGGTTGCACTAAATCATGTACATAATTATATTTGTCTTCTGCATTGCCTCATTCTTGAGAAGACAACTATGAAGTACTACCCTGCCAGCACTTCATCATCCTAGCAATAAAAACACTTTTATGTTGCTATATCTAGTAAAAAATATGCTTAGGAATCCTTTTTTTTTTTCCTCACTATTTCCCTTCCATGATTTGTGGGGTTTAACGTCCCAAAACCACCATATGATTATGAGAGATGCCGTAGTGGAGGGCTACGGAAAATTTTGGCCATCTGGGGTTCTTTAACGTGCACTCAAATCTGAGCACACGGGCCTACAACAGTTTCCGCCTCCATCGGAAATGCAGCCGCCGCAGCCGGGATTCGATTCCGTGACCTGTGGGTCAGCAGCCGAGTACCTTAGCCACTAGACCACCGCGGCGGGGCTATTTGTCTTCCACCTGTTCGAAAAATATTCTAGAAGTGTATAAGAAATATTTTATTCTAGTTCACTTTTCACCTAAAATTTTGCTATTTGCACAGCTCTAACACAACTCCTTATAGCAGTTTCACATGCCCCAAGTGTCTTCCTGACATCAGCACCAAATAAAGGTACTAGATGAATTAGTGGATAATGACTGTTGGGATCGGTCTGTTCACAAACCACAGCTTGGTCAATGTGTATATTCCCAGGAATGATGCTTTGGTTAATTTATTGACCACTTGGCTTTTGTTTACTACATTACAGTGGTGAAGGCTGCAATATTGAAGCAATACCTTCCATTCATTTTTGTGTCACTCTTATTGACTGTTCACGGCTTATTTATACCTTTTAAACATGGGTGAAGTGTGAAAGGATGTACCACTGGGAAATGCATCACTACAAAATTGTTGTTACTGGCTGTTCAGGCGATATGCATTCGCGCAGCAAATCATTGATAAACTTCCATTCCATGATAATCACCTTATGCATTCACACTATTTCGTGTGTCTTGGACCAAATGGGAAATAGTATTTCCTTCAATGTGTTCAGATAAGGTGGTGTACTTGTCACTATGCTGTTGATGCCTGCGCTGTTGAAAGCTGATGAATCCTACACACTTCGTATGAATTCACATGATACCTTAAAATGATGATGCAGGAATACTACGCACGTTTGTTTAGCTCATTGGTAGTTTTTTTATTTTTCTTTTTTTCCTCGCAATTCTGTCATTTTGTACCTCTAAATGCTTGGTACGTCGTAATGATTTCAGTCCAACTCTCAACTATCAGGCAATGATCGCATGCTGCTTGCCCTCTAGAACATGCATCGAGTGAAGTCTTATTTACAATATGCACAAAGAATGATGGGAAATGATTTAAACTCCAACCAAAAGTTTGTGAAGAAACCCGACGTTTCGCAACCGACTTGGTTCCTTCCTCAGGGGAAACTGAGAGACTACGTAGCAGTGGCGCCTTTTGAAAAGACTCGCGGGGCGGTTAATGACCACCTCTCTCTCGTTTTGCTGTGGAGCGCAGTTCGTGTATATACGCTGGGGGAAGGGGTTACGAGAGAGCGGTTGATGTTTTGGGTCGTTCACTGTAGTATATGCCATGACACGAGTAGTAACCATCTCCTCTAGTTAGTCTCGTTTTCAAGGATACCAAGTCTCACTTTCAGACTAACTGGAGGGGAAGGTTACTACTCGAGTTGTGGCATATACAGCGAACAGCCCAAAATATTGCCGCGAAGCGTATTGCGGATAGTTGCGCATGCCGATACCACCGGAACGCGGCCTTATCGTGGTCCAGGATGCACCGCGATTCATCTGCGAAGATCGTGGCCCGCACGTCGATCGTTCGTTGATTACGAGATAGCCCAGATGCTTACGAGGACTGTATCTCGGATGGTGAACGCGCCTTGCAATCCAGTGGGGCATTCTGTTCCCCAACGGCCGTCGAACACGCTGTTCGCCACCCGCTAAGCCGATGTGTATACTTTCCTTTAGTGGGCGCAAGTCTGCCAAATAAACGGATTCCTCTTCTATTTCTACGAGCCTCACGGTCTCCTGTCTTCGGGCTACCCTCACTCTTACGTAACAATATCAATCACTCTCTTGAAACCCCTCCCCCAGTGTATACACACAAACTGTGCTCCATGGCAAAATGAGAGGGGAGAGAGGGTAAGGTCATCAATCTCCCCACGGTTGCTTTGAAGACGCCGCTGCTACGTAGTCCCAGTTTCTCCTGAGGAAGGAACCAAGTCGGTTACGAAATGTCGGGTTTCTTCACAAACTTATGGTTGGAATTCAAATCACTTCCCAGTTTTCATACCCAACTAGACAGACATCTGTCGAACATTTACATTCAAAGAATGATGTTGGAAAGTCAAATTACGCTAGGATGACAGTGTCTCATGTTGATCTATGAGCCGTATGGGGAGCTTGTAGGATGGACCACTTTGCTATTGCAGTCTTGTTATGGAGTGATTTTGCAGCTAATCAGCACCAAATCAAAACATGCTCTGGACTACTGCCAATGTGTTTAGTAGTTAGGAAGCGGTATGATCCGATAAATTATATTTTCCATACCTTTCAATATCAGGATCATTGTCAACAACTACCAAAGCAAACCAGCACCAGCCCAGTTTACAAATCTACTGCCACAAGCACGGACTTCGTGCAAGAAGTTGATCCTGCACCAGTACCAGTGGTACAGGAGAATGAGCCGGCACCAGGGGAAGTGGTAGAGAAAGCTGAACCGACACTAGTGCCGCTGGTGTTGCCTACTGTTCCCGGTAAGGCCCACACAGCTGCAGCCTGTACAAATCTTTTACACAGTCTGTAAAGGCCTCTTCTGTTGGTATGTTTTATATGTTTGCTTAAACCCATAAGTTGCGTTTGAATTCTGCTTTTTCTAAAACTTGTGGGGATTTCAAAACAAATCAGAGCAATAATTCTATTGTTCAGGAGTGCAAAAAAAAAGAAAGAAAAGAAATGGGAACGAATGCAGATGCTTTGAGAACAAACAAATGGCAGGGCAGGGCAGGCAGGCAGATAAAAAAAATGAATCCATCAATGGACGTGACATGCCATGCGCTCTTTAAAGAGTGACATTCGTGCTACAGGGTGTATGTGCGACCGGCAACGACAGTGACACGCAGGCAAGTCCTCGCTGTGCACTCTGGGTAATCTGCCATTTCTAAGCAATAACAAGTAGACAAAGTTTGTGGTGTCGGTGTGGTCGCAGTCGATCTCCGGATGCGCAATTTAGCATATCTCTGTGCAAGAATGAAACATTAATATTATTTTGCGGCAAAATGGCACGTGATAAAACAGATTATGCAGCACACTGCTGTGCGTCAAAGACCAGTCGCGCTGCAGTGAAAAAGTTGCCCTGTCTGATGTGGACCACTTTGAGTTTTTGAAAAGCGACTGCATAAGAGACGTAAATCTGTGGCAGCTAATCGACGACACAGATGTAAGCAAGTTCTTTGTCTTGAGGACCAGTTTTCTTACCTGCCAGCAACTAAAGGCTCGAGGAGTATTAGAAAGCCACAATTTTTTTGCTAGCAGTTGATAGTGCAAGCGATCTGTTAAGGGGGAACATGGGTTTTAGAAGGCCAAAAATCGCAAAAAAATTGACTTTTTGAAGCTGACATTTTCGAAATCTGCGCCTATTTCTGCACTTATCTGAGAAGTTTCTAGCTTCTCGCGTCATTATTTCTGGCGCAAAATCACTTTATAACATTCCTGTGAGATGAATCTGAGCGCGAATTGACGCTAAAATCGCGCTTTTTCTGTGCTAAACTGTTGCCGTTAGACACGAGCTATCGTGTTCATCTTGGTCTCATTTGGAAGGGTCGTTCTTCATCTTCAATTTCCCGCCACCGCTGGCTCATCTTGCTCATTGGTTTTTTAGCAAAAACGCGTCATCGAGAAGCACTAGCGTGCGATTCAATTGGCTGCTTGGGGCACGTGACCAAATTTAGGCATTCGATTGGCTAAGGGTCGCTTTCGGCGTCTGCTTCACCATCAGTGACGCGTACGGACATGCGCCACTTTGTCATGGTGCTACTGACTGCTTGTGGCAGTAAAGAAGTTCCGTGCTACAGTAATTTGTGAAGCGGATGTGGTGGTGGTTCGTTCGCTGTGAACTTCAGAAAGATCCCCGCTATGGTTCCGGACAACGAAGAAAACGAACTCGACCGGTGTAGGCCTAACTCACGTACGGGCCCGTTGGTTGCCGACAACGTTACTGAGAACGGCTGTGTTTTGCAGCCTCATCAGTTAGAGGACGGCAAGTAAAAAGCAGAAGTGAAGCTACCAATGATATCAATCTTTGTAGTGACGGAACGGAAGTGCAGTCTTTTCGCTAAACCCGCCGATGTTGTGGTTCCCCCCCGCCTGACGAAAGGACCTTGAACTGCCCGACGGGTCGTCAGAGTGGAGTACGCTGTGCGTCGACCAACAACAGAAAGTCAATCAGTTCGCAGTGAACATGCTCACAGGCCCTCGCAATGGTGGCTACTGGCAACAGGTAGACTGCTTTTAACGGACGTGTTTGCATTGTTGTCGCGATCTCCGCTCGAAAATGCGGCAGTCTTACGTGAAAAGGAAATTAACACCTCGGTACTCGTGTAGCCTCGAAATTGATGAGCGAGAGAGCAACTTTGGTTGGCGACACTTACGGGTAACTTATTCTGGACAAGCCGAAAAACATTGCCGCGTTATTTTCGACGGATCGTGGATGACGCACGCACATTTGTCGCACATCGCCGTCAGTACAGTCACCGAACTGATAAGTGGCCTCGCGGCAGACGAGCACACGGCGACAACTTGCTACAGGACTAGAAGAAACGACACGCTCGTATAAACAATCAGTCCTATTACATTCCCGGTGCATATTAACTCACTAAAAGTATGTGTGCCATGATATTTTTTCCTCGGAATGGCGAAATTAGGTTTTAACAGCATTATTCTACAAGCACAGATTTCGACCACTTTCTTCTGCTTGTTCGGTAAAAGTGGACCTAGGACAGCTAGAGCTGTAATTGTTTTTGCACAATGTAGCTAAATGTGCACAAAAAACAATGCTGGAAGCCGATCTTTAATGGGCAGCTTCATTTTTTTATTTAATATAAAAGTTTCTGTATTTGGTTACATGTAATGAACTTTACTGTGCTGTAATTCAAGAAGTACTCGTTCAATTTTCGATCAACTTGCAGCATTGCACTCCTTAGGCTTCCTAGCATTCATTTATATGTCAATGGCTATGTAATTATAAGTGCATACATTTTTACAGTTAAAAATGTTAGAATTCTTTGTTTTCTTCATTTTCTCAAAATGGCAATTTTGTACTCCCAGCATGAAAATTACTGCAGTATATCTGAAACTATTACAAATAGCAGAATATTTTATTTTGCAGCATGAAGGCATATGTTTGGAGCACACAACATAGGAAGCAGATTTTTATTTCTCTTGATGCAAGTTTTTCAAACTAGTTTTTTGTGTGACCACACAATGGCTACTATCAGGGCTGTGAAGTTTACTGTACTGTAAAGTAAGAAATAATGACCCATTAAAAAAGGTGCTTCTTATGTTGCATGTCTTATGCTTTCTACTGTCAATCCCCATGTTATTTAAAATTTTTGACAGGTGGTTATTTTTCTATTATGGTAAGAACAATAGAAGTTGTTATCTTGATTATTTAAATAACTGATGAACCTACAGAAAAAATAACTACATTTTTAGAATCCGGAGAACACACTAAGTAAGCATGCCAACTTTTATCACACTTGGTTCAAAAATAAATCAGAGAGCCCTAAGAACCATGTCCCCCCTTAAGGTAGTTTTCTTAGAGGCCGTGATCCTCAAAAAAAAGGAAAAAAAGTACGTTGAAGTGTTTTATTCTTCTAGCAGAATACAATATTATCTTGTTGCACATGTCAACCACTCGCAGAGCCTCAACAAGCTAAGTGTTGATTTGTGGGCTCCATGCCAGGGAGATGGTAAAGTCGTTGTCGCTACCTTTTATATGCTGGGAACGGCGAGCCGTGCTCCCAAGTAGCAGCACTGCTTCCTTAGAGTAAGGCGTGCGCATGCAGCAGAAAGCGTTTTTGAACGGACAGCGCCAACTCTTGACCACCGACGCACATCAGGAATTAGATGTGATACCTATCGCTGCTATGGATTTCACTTAGTCGATGATGAAAAAAATAAGCGTTGAAGTGCTGATTCTAGTGCAGCTCATGAGCTGAAAGCCCTTGCCAAGCCAGTGGCACCCATTGGAGAGGAGTGGTAGTATTTTTTCACAACCTTGGTTTATTCATGTCACCGGCCAGCTGTGGCAAGTACAGAACGGGATTTCAGTGACTTGTATGTGCCGTTAGTAATACGCTTTAAACAATTAAAATTATTAGTGAAAGATTTAAAGGTTTGGCCATTATTAGAGGCGACAAGCTGACAGTTGCGAAGGCTGTATCAATCCTTGTTCGTATTCTCAGTCATCATAGCCTAAATGCTTCAGGTGGGGTTCAGTTTAGACTGCAGTCGACAAAGCAAGCTTGAAGGATAACCTGAAACAATTTATAGAGCATACAGTTTATCACACGCACCATTTGTTAAAACAGTCTGTGGTCCTGGAAAACAGGGTACACCAATGCTGTGCTGAAACCAAGGCCTGTATTCACGGTGCGCAAGTAGTAACACTTTTGCAGGGACAGAAACAGGTAGTGCTTCAAAGAAGATAACATAGGTGCGGGTTTCGCACACCTGATAAAAGGGCTGGCAACACACTTCATACTTATGTGGGCCATTGGCAACACCCTTTTCTGTGGAGGCGGGCGATCCACTCACGCTGCCGGCGTTGAGACAGCTGCCTCATCTTGCCGTATTCATGAACCTTCACCTTTGGAATGTTGAAAAACCGAAAGTTGCTGAGATTGTGATTTTACTGCTTAGCCTTTTCTTTCTCGGCTTGGGTGTGCGTATGGCTTTCGCAGCCTTCAGTGGCACAGTAAACCATGGCAGCTGTAGACTGGCTGCACGCATAGCTTTGCATGTCAGCTTGTTATTGCTGCAAAATGGTGGACTACCCAGAGTGCCCACAAGACTTGCCTGCATGTCGCTGTTGATACTGATCATGCATACACCCTGTAATCATGGTCTCTTGACATGGTGCTTTGTGTGAGTGTGTGATTGATTGGAAGATTACCCGCAGCACCATATTAGGCATTATCGCGGGGACACAGTGCCTCATAGAATGAATCCGCAGTCTTGCGGCCAGCTAAATCAGCTGGTAACTTACTCCATTCGACAATGACTTATGGAAAAAAAGAATGCTCAACAGATCTGTTCTGGGGTTGTATGGCCGTACTTTAAATTTGTCGTCATGATGAGAGGAATGATAATGCACTGGCTTTAAATGTTCTGAAGGATTAATGCCTGTTTTCTTGTTATAGATTGAATAAAACAGTTTCAAGCCTATACTACGTCTTCGATCTTTTAAGTATTGCCAATTAAGTTCTCTTTTCATACATTGAGAGCTTTCAGTTTGGTCATATTTTCCCAGAAGAAATCTTGCTGCTATCGACTGAATGCGCTTTATTGCATGAATGTGTACTTTGAGAAACGGATCGCACACAAAACAGGCGTATTCCACTATTAGTCTGACATAGGCGTAATATGCAGCCTGCTTGACCTCCTTGGTTACATGTTTAAGATTTCTTTGTAAAAAGCCTACAGCTTTTCCAGCTCTGCTGAGAACACTGGCAATGTGTTCAGACCATCCCCCATCCTCAGAAAATGTGACACCCAAGTGTTTGTATTGTATTCTTTCCTAATAAGCTTCATTGTTTAAGATGTACTGATTTGTAAACCTATTGACCCTTTTGGTGAAACTGACGTGAATGCTTTATTAGTATTTAGTACCATACCTTTACGTGATTAAGGTCATCCTGAAGCTGGGTAGAATCCATTCGGTCGGTCAGTTCAGTATACAACACACAGTCGTCAGCAAACATTCTAATACGACACTTAATTGTATCCGAAATGTACGGAACACTGAGGTACCCCTGATGTCACCGAAACCAACATGAACATGATCCACCTAGAACAACCTTCTGTTTTCTGTCTGCAATCCATCAGCAAATGGTTTGATGAATGTTCAAGTTCTGCAGTTTTTGAATCAGAATCGAGTATGATACCGTATCGAAGGCCTTCCTGAAGTCCAAAAATAAGCAATCAATCTGTTTTCGATTATCTAAAACTGATGCTGTATTATGATAGAATTCAATTAATTGGGTTGTACATGGAAAACCTTGTCTAAATCTGTGTTGTATAGAATTTAAAAAATTAATTGAAGTCAGGTGATTCAATAAAGCAGTAAAAAGAGCATGTTCAAGTACTTTACAACATATCGGCGTCAGCGAAATTGGTCTGTAATTTGATACATCCGATTTAGAACCACTTTTGAAAATGTGCCCAACATTAGCTATTTTCCAGTCATCAGGAAGCTTGCCTTCATCGAGTGATTTTTTGTAGATAACATAGAGATAACAAGCTACTGCCTTAGAGCAGTGTTTTAAAACTCTTGGCGATATGCCATCTGGGCCAGTTGCTATACTTTCGTCAATGCACTGTAACAACTTCACTATGCCATTGAATGAAAGCTCTATCTCACCCATAGGCAAACATTGTTCTTTTTTATTCACGACAATCACTTGTGTAGGTGGGTGCAAAACCAATTTTAAAAGTTGTTGGAAAGTGTGGCTTTGTCTTTATCCTCAGTTACAATATCGCCACCGTAATGTTCTTACGTGCAGTCTTCTTCTAGCACTTTAATCTTGTTCGCTGAATGACCTTTTCGTAGCTGTAAGTGTAAACAGGTACTGTTCTTTCACTCCTTGTTTATATTTGTGGTTCCTAGAAGCAGAAAGGGACCCACTCATTCCTGCCAAAATAAGCAGCTCTTCTCGGTGTGCAGGCAACAGTTGACCCATATTTTATTTTTCAGTTATGTTTTACATGAGGAACATTCGTGTACTTGCTTCTAATACATTAGGAGGCCCCTAACTAAATATACGCTGACTCTGGAAGCTTGAGTTAATAATGCATAATGTACTCCATTGAAAAGTAATTATTTTTATGTGTATTATTACCTTAACATTAAATCTGTCGTTGCACTAACTAACTTGTCCCATTAGTCCTTCCCCTCTTTTTGAAAGTGCATGGCAGATTTGTTGCCCACTTAATTAAAGGTGCAATGCACTTTCTGGTTTTTTGTTTTCTTTTATTGCACTTTTGAAAACATCTGTGCTTATTGTTTTATTTTAGGTGGTCTCTCTACTGTTGGATCAAATAATGATTTCAGGCTTGTGTTGGACATCTACAAAATGAGTGCCGAGATAAAATCAAAGGTAAGACATGTTCAGCGTTTCCAGAGATTCAGATAGCTTGTTTTAAATTATCTATGTTCATGTTCCTCTCCACAATTTCAATGTGTTTTTGATGCTGTTTTTAATGCTCGCAAAGCTCATTATTTCAGCAATAAGTTTTGTGGGCAAAACTACTGCCGTGACCTACTGCCATTCATAGGTGTTTGCGATCAAATTTCGAAGATACACAATATTAATAGTGTATTTTAAATTTAAGAATAGTAGCCTGAACATGTAAAAAGTACAATCAGAACTTAGAATAGAGCCTCAGCCGTGTCTGCAGAGTGCTAACTATTTGCTGGTTTACCTAGTTAGTGGGGGCATAAGTGATGAAGGGTTAGGGTGGTGGCTTGTGCTGGCACAGAAGTTGACCAGGCTACAAGCTATTACTTCAGTAACTGTGCTGCTGGTGTAAATTTTTCAGCAGTTGTCTAATCGTTGTCACCTCTCCAAAATTTGTGTTTTAGGAACATATGCTAACACACACCAAAAAAGATGCTCATTAGCTTATTGGTAAAGGCTTATAATTTGGAACTATGCTCAAAGCTCGTTTAACCTAATGGGATATATAATAAAATAATAGATATAACAAAGTAAATGAAATTCTCTTTGAATGCTTCATTTAGAACCACGCATTTTAAGCCTCATTGTAACGAAGTAAAATTGACCTGTAGATGGATATAACGAACTAAATTAGTCTATCAAATAGTCTATATAAAAAAAAAAACGATTGTAGTGTGTTAAGTATATCGTTTCCTGCGGAGTTTGACGCTCATTCGGCACGGCTTTTTGAAAACTCTCGCGCCAACTTAACAGCCACGCCACACGCGGCCGAGAGAGCCGTCCTTCTCACACAGCCAGCGAAGAGGATTGAGGAAGCACTCAGCGGGTCACACGACCGAGAAGCGGCGCCACGATGCGAAGCGATTTCCCTCTCACTTAGGCGCCTCAAGACGACGACAATGACACTTCTAATACCGTGGGCAACGACTACGTCTCCGCTGCTACCCTCTGCACCGAGAAAGAAGGACTCTTTTTTTTTCTCTGCGCTTTTTTTTTTCTCTGCGCGCGGCCTTAAAAGAGAAGGGTCTCTATGTGCAGAAACTGAAAAAGGCGAAGCGTGGCTAGGGTGGCTAGAATGGGGAGGTGTAAAAAGCGAGCTGTGTTTCCCTTGCCGAGCGGCGCCGTGGTGCGCGAGAGCTCCGCTAGGTCGTGATTTAGCGCGGCGATCAGAGGCGCTGCTGCTAGCGTGGCTACTAGCACAGCGGAGACGGCTGCAAGTGCAGTGTATGCCGGGGGAGGCTGCTGGTCACTCGCGGCAAGGGCTTCTCAGCATTTGTTTTCCACGAGGTGCGACGACTTTGTTATCTTTGCTCTTAAAACACTAAAGGGCTCCTGCAAAGTAGAAAAAAAATGCTGCGGACTTGTTTTTCTTGCCTGGGTACAACGCGGAATACAGATGGTGCGCTGAAAATTTTCCCTGTTTTTCGTGCGCTCTGGCATGCAAAGGCAGGTTAGCAAAAAGGGAGCGCACCATCGCAAGGGCGGACAAAGCGCTCCAGGAAAATACCGCCGTCAGCTAAAAACATTTCGACGCATGGCAAATGTTTTGAATTTATTTAAGGGCAGAAAAGACTTGTGTGCATGTGTGGAAGGCATCGGCAAGTGAACATATTGAACACTTTGTGCCGCTCTTAACACTTCGGCGATTGCTTTTCGATAAATACATTTGTTTACCTGAAAATTATGTCTTCTCAGTTGGTTTTTAGATTCAGGCGCGTGAGAATTCGTGCATATTGTGGAAGGACAGGAAGAATGCAGCGTGACAAGACTAGTTTAAGAGATGATGCTTTACCCATCTTATTTCCAAGCCTGCCCAAATATATATCCAAGAGTTTGCCTAAAGAACGAAAAAGAAGAAATGCTGCTTCATCGGACTCCCCCTGAGTGGGTATGAGCCATCAGTCCAGGGAAACAAACAAACAAGTGGCCCGATAACCCTATCAGGTTGGAGGATTGCCCAAATGACTCGACGAGCTGCCAAGGCAGGCGACTAGAGATTGGGATCTAAGGGGACTTCTGTATCCGTCAGAGTCTCTCTAAAACCTGGTAGGGACTATGAAAACCAAGTTGACACATGTGTTTAGCACAGTGCACCTGCATTCGAATTTAGTAGCCAGTCTTCTACGATCTCTAGGCAGTTTCGAGAAATTGGCTGCGTTGAACATTGCAAATAGTTGAACAAAGCAGTGGTCAGATGATTTTGCGTGATGAGAGGTTTTTTTTATTGGTCTGAACCAAGCAAAAAGCGAGAAAAAAGTCAAGCGATTGAAGCCCTGTGTCTTGTAAGAAAAATGTCCGTCAGTGACTCACTGTGATAAATTTTGTTGTAGCTATAAAATTAAGTGTTGTCTCAGTTTCTACACATGTTTCAGAATACTGCCTCAAGTGTAATATAATTCCAGCATTCAGAAAATAGCAATGCATAACTGCACTCGATAAGTTGCACTGTCGAGGCAGATTTAGCAGCAAACGTCACAATCTATCGCGGGTTAGCACAAGGTAATGTTGGCAGACTAACGTCGTCAGAGATACCCCACTCCGCTAGAGCAAGCTTTTTTTTTTTTTTGACTCCGTTAAGACGTAGTTCAATGTTATAGAAAATAAAACCGTTTTGGTTTCACTAAGCATATAAAGAGTGGTGCTTCACTCTAATGAAATGAAAAACTTCGCTCTAATGAAATGTTCGTTCAGCGAAAGATGCGTGTATTCATATTAGGTGAAATTGCTGCTTGATATTCACTTTGACAAAACTCTTGTACTGGCGAAAAGTCGAAACGACCATCGCAGGTTCATTTCAAAGGAGAAAGCTGGCAGCGCCTCCGACTACAGCGCCACCGCTGCAAGCTCGCGAGTGGGAACAACTTTGGAGCGGCCGTTTTTCACACCTCCCAATTCTAGCCACCCTAGCGTGGCACAGGCGCGTCGCAGAACGGCATTTGAGAGAGAGCAAACAATTCGCTACAGTCTTTTTTTTTTCCTTTTCTTTGCTTTTCTTCTTTTCCTTCTTTGCGCGCAGCGTTGAGAGGTGCCGCCGCTGGATTAGGCATGGTGCTGAAAGCATTTTGGAGCGCGGTATGTTCGAATTAACCGTCGTAAGTGCTTCCGCGATCGAATTACAGGGCGTTCTCGCCCATTGGAATACACATAACTTTGACGGAACCTCAGCGTGAGTTTGAATTCACCGGAAGTTGAATTAAGCGTGTTCGAATTAATGAGATTCGACTGTGTTTATTTTCCGTTGCATGCGTGGTCGCGTAGGGGTACATGGGATCGCGAGCTGGTTTCCTTCTTTGCATGCTTATAGGTGTGCGCCCATCTGAGCATTCATTGCCACAAACTGTTATAATCGATATAACGAAATAATGGATATAATGAAATATTTGTGGCTTCCCTTCAACTTCGTTATAACGAGGCTTGAGTGTATTGGGACCGGAAAAAGATTCTTGAAATAACTGAAATCGCAATTATGAAAAGTGTTTAGAAAACAATATTCAAATGTGAATACATCAACACACTTTCATTTTCGTGATGAATATGTAAAGGCTGTACTTATTTTGTATAAAAGCAACATGAAAGCTGCTATCTTCATCATCTGATCACTTCCATCACAACCCTACCTAGTGTAAGGCCTCCATGTCCTAATTAGCCCAAAACGTTCTCTGTGCCTATACCCTAATATATACAGCCACCATGACCATCACGATGCATACATGGCGATGCTTTTTGTCGCCGATAAACAAAAAAAATTTGCCGCAGCCGCTAGAGCCTTGGTCACCAAGAATGCGATTGTGGACGGCTACTTTGTCTATTTTCTTTTTAACTGCCCCAGGTCTGCGAAGTGTAACATATGGTGGGAAACACAAACGGGCAGGAAACATTCTGACTTTCCCATCGTTACCATACGGTTGGCAGTGATAATGATGGCAGTGCGGACTACGCCACCTCTTTTCAGTTGGCCAGAAATATTGCTTTTGCTCCTTTGCTCCACACATTTGCAGCACTTCGTGCTCGGTCCTGGAATCCTGGAATAAGGACCCACCTACTCGCTCTTTCTTCTTCTACCCCTTCCCCCGAATAACCAATAAAGTTTTTCCACCACAACCACCCAGGTTCATCCGAACGAACTGAACGGCTGAATCAGAGTTCGATACCATTAAACATTGTATATGATGGCCGGAACTGGAGAACACATCTGAATTATCTGATGTTCTGAATCGAGGAGGGTTGAATTAACCAGCTTTCACTGTAATTGTGTTAGATGTATTGCATGATGTTGCTACCATTGCTTGTAACCAGCCATCGTGTTGAAGGAGCACTGCAACACTTTTCCAAGTAGCCATTGAATGCATTCACTGAAAGACCCTATTTCCTCGTGAATTGGCCGCAGCAAAAATTTTATGAACAAAGCTCCTTAGGGCGTAAGCTTGTCCGGCGTCGTAGTATCCACCGCTATGGCGATGGTGATGACTCTCGCACCGCTAGTATTTAGCTTGCTCACTAGATGGCGCTAAGGCGCTCGCTCCACTCTAATGCGTGCTCTAGTGTGATAGGCGATGGCACTGTGGCCACCGCTAGTACTCTGAGCACTCACTAGATGGTGGTGGCACTGTAGTGCTCGCGCCTCTATTACTTGGATTGCTCACTAGATGGTGCTCTAGTGTGATAGGAGACCTCTAAAGGCGCAGCTATAAAATGCGTTTGCTCTTGGCACGCTTCCCCTTTCACTGGCAGTCAGACGACAGACAGACAGGCAGAGAGACAGATGCACACCACACAAAGACAGGCAGATCCCAACCTGAGAGCCCACGAAAGCTTCACCCCATTCATCATCATTCAGTCCGTGGATATGCTGTGATCTTTCTTTAGAACTTGTATAGTACGAGCAGAGTTGAAAAGAACTGTCGCATGCTGCAATTGCTTTCTCTTTTCTCTCGTTTCAATGGAAGTGCGGGAAGCTAAGCAGGGTGTTAACTCCAGGCCACGCGGTGCAGCTATAATATTTGACTCTAATGTTCTTGGGAGCCTCAACTACTGATCATCAGCGTTTTCTGACTATGCTCCAAAAGTGTTGCAGGGCCCCTTTAATCTCCATGTGCTCCAGAATATTGGACGCAATAAATCTTATGGCGACTGTACTTTGGTGCATCAAATTAGTTACTTAGCTTTGATTCCTTGCCTCATCTGTCTTTCTGTTGCAGTACCCATTCGTAACCAATGTCCAGCTTGTTTATCGATTCAAAAGGGCTATGCAGGAGTATCACCAGATGTTCCAAAGGCAACTGCTCGGTACCTTAGAAGAAAAAAATACGGTATGAATGCTGGCGTCTCACTGTTTCCTACCATGACCTCATCCTGTTCCCTCTCATCAATTGGCTCTGCCTTTCAGTTCATCAATGCCCAGCTGCCCGTACCAGAAGAAGTTCTTGGAAAGCTCAAGGAAGCTTCACTTGCTATTGAGCAGCTGAATATTGCCATTCAGGCATGTGATGAAATCACAAAGGTAAGGGATGAACTCTTTGATAACATTGTTTTTTATAAAGCATTCGTTCAATTTGCATATAACATGCAATTCAAACACAGTACACTACAGGAACAGCCTTGAAAGCTGCTGTACACTTTCTTAGGGCGGCTAGTGCAAGCTCAGAATACCACTCCGCCCTAATTCACGATCATTTTGTTTAGAGAAGTGCTCACTGCACGTCTGTAAGGTGATGTGTTGTGCACGTATGTAGCTGCAGGCTTTGTCAGCTGCTACTGGTGATGACGAAGTATGGCCGAGGCCCTTGTACCCGTTGAGCAGCTTCATGATCCAGTCCTTACGCGTTTCAGACAGTGCGATTCTCGAGGCGATTTTACTATTCTTCCGTGAGGTACTACATCTGTTAATCTGACTTTTCATCAGACACGACTCTTGGACTCCTGTGTTGAGTTGTTTTAGAAAATGTTTTGAGCACACTCTGACAGAATACCCGAGTGCGACACAGAAGGCTTAGGTTTGATTCCTGCTTGAACCCAGTTCTCCCCCTCCTCATTGTTCACAATTGCTGTAATGGACATCAGTAGTGGTAGATATCACCACAAAATTACCGTTTGTGAGATCATAACAGTCTTGCAATAAAGTTTAAATGTGGGCTTGTTAGTACAGTCCAATCCCGCTACAACGAAACTTACAGGGCACGGAAAAAATTTCGTTGAAGCGAAAATTTCGTTGTAGAGAAATAGCAAGAAATATCGCTGATCTGAGCTAGCAAAACAAAGGAATGTTTATTCTCAAAATTCAAAAAATGTCCGCTGCTTTCTATTCTTTCCCAGCAGCGTCACGGCGTGATTCTCATTCATGCATAGCGAGGCCATGGTGAAAAGCACACTGAAAAAACACCTAAAACTACTTTCGTGAACAAACCAAACAGTTGCATTTACACGTTAACACCAGCAGCTGTCCACCGTCAAAAGTGTCCGACAACGCCGAGATGGAGGCAGGGTATCGTGGAGCTTTTGCATTATTCTATGCCATACTGATCATCCATCACTCGCAGCTAGCTGATTTTGTTGATAATGCGGACGACCAGCCGCTCTGATTAGTTACCACACTGGTAAAGCGCGAACATAATGATAAGCATCGGAATCAGGAAAGGCATCGTGCCGTGGTTGCACCCAGCAGCTGCGAGAAGGAAACCATGAACTGAGCGACTGAGTTTCAGCTTCGGATCGTCTGCGGCTCAAAAGCAAGCCAGTGGTAAAACAAAAGCAGGGCACTCTCATTGCCATCACTACCACGCAATGGCGGCGCCCATGCTTGCTGAACAGCGACGTTATTCGCAACTTTCAGCTACTGTGGATGCCGCCACACGGCGACCGGCGCAAGCCTTGATGCGGTGGTAAAATGAGAACTTGCTTGGCGACAACGTGCCAGGCCGTGCCTTTGTTGTCGTTATGTCCCACAACATCTTGCGCGTGCGGGAACTACATTTTGTTGGTGCAAGGTTGCAGAACCTTTCAGCTTCAATAATGCACGAATAATACAAGATAAATTGCTTGTGCGGTGGGCTGCAAGGCTTAAGCTGCTCCGTGAAAGGCGTCATTAGCGTGCTTGGTTTTCTTTTCGTCTGACGACGGAAAAAACAATGAATTATCAAGCTATACATCGTGAAAATTGTCAACAAATTGTGGTTACCAGTGAGCACTTCAAGTCAGATGACTTCTGGGACAGAACAGAATTGTTTGGATTTTATTTACCAGGAACCAGGACATGATGAGAAACGTTGCAGCGGGAACCTCGGGATTTATTTTCACCACTTAGGGTTTCTTAAAGTGCTCTTAAATCTAAGCCCCTTGTTGTTCTTTTCTATTTAGCCCTTTCGAAATGTCGCTGAACATGGCCAGCAATAGAGCTCACCGCACTCAGCAGCATGGCACTTCACGGTGTCAAATACACCCTTCACGGTACTCTAATGCACTCAGCTGCAGACCCGCAAGTGGCAGGATCGAATCCCCGCAGCAGCCGCCGCATTTTCGATGGAGGCGAAAATGTTTGAGACCCGTGTTATGTGCTAAATTTCGGTGCACGTTTAAGAATCTCAGGTGTTCGAAATTTCCGGATTTCTCCACTGAATCATATGTTGGTTCTGGGACGTTCAACCCTAACTATTACTATTATCAATCATGAGACAAACAATTGAGTGCTCATCCTTTTGGTGGGGTCTACAATAACACGGTTAATACAACAGTATGCTTTCGCGAGCGAAAAGCACTCGAACACAGCTCGCCGCCACTGACACATGCGAGCAGCAGCTGGGCAGACACCGCCGCCGTCCGCAACTGAGCGCAAGCCTGTTTAGGGTGTTCAAATTTCAGCAACGATATATATATATATATATTTCTAGTCTTATGCCTGCGTCGAGATACGCAAGCAGTTTTCTCCACAACATTGATATGAAGATCGAAGCAAAGTAAGCAGGTTGGGCGAGATGGCCTGCAGTATCGCATGTTCACCCTGCGAAATGCCCAAGCATCGTGGTTCCCGATCTCGCTCGTAGCTTGTAAGCAAGCACTGTTTTGAATAAGTGACATACTGGAGCACAAGTTTATCAGGTTAAGCATTAGTTTGTCTAATTAAACAATTGTAACCCATCTTGGCTGGCATGAAACCGGCACCCTCAGTCAAAATGATCGGAGTAGTAAAGGAACGACCGGTAGCACAAGCGGTCCTACATCAACTGTCTCCTGTTGTTACCGTTGTCCATATATGGCCGCGCGATTGCCGGACCAAGTGAATGACAAACATCTGCCGAGTTTGACACAGCCTGGATGCCCGATCCGGCAATGCAGTATGACGGAACGTCACCGAATTGACTGCTACACGAGCGCGCCGGACAGTCGAATCCGGTGAAAGATCATACCGCGTGTTCCACACTTTATGCACTCTAGCATGCATGAGCTGCTTCCTTCGTGGGAATTCAAATGCCACTGAAAATTATCCTAGCTGAAAGCAGCGGCAACCATGCAGAGAGAAAACTTGTGACGAAGGCTCCGCGCAGGCAGGCGATCATTGCATCGGCAGCCATTTTGGTTTTCTTGTGGCACCCCCTATAGTCACTGAAGTTGCGAATAGCGGCGGTTTCTAGTGGTGCCAACGCATGTGTTTTAGACTTCGTTGACTGCATTTTCAGGCTCTGAAAATGCATCGAAATGTCAAAGATTGGGTTTACTGCATAGCAATAAGTATTTGAGTATGGAATTGCATTGTAAAATTTTGTTGAAGCGGTACGATCGAAGAAAAAGTGTTCGTTGTGGCAACAGCATTTATGCATTGATTCCTATGGACTGCTGACGGGGAATCATGAATCTTTCATTGTAGTGGAAATTTGGTTGAAGCGGCGTTTGTTGTAGCGAAGTTTGAGTGTATGATATTGTTATGTTATCGTGCTCTACTGAAGGCTAAAAAGGCAAGCAAAGCATTGTTGTGGCACACCACGGGTTCCTTTTGAAGGACTATGAAGGCTGTGATTAAGCTTTTGTATATGTTGAGTTATACAAATGGAAAGTACCATCTCAAGGTTTATTAGATTAATATAGGTAAATTTATTACACACTCACATGTAGCATGTGAGGTTTATTAGATGAAATGTGTGAGAAGGCTGAAACAGACGTCTCTTGGGTGCATGTGTACGGTATATTTAGAGAGTGTAATTAGTTTGAAAAGCTGAATTATTTAATCAAAGTAGAGAATCAGAGTAGAGAAATAGTTAGGATACACTTTGCCCAAATATTCAGTGCAGTGGGCAAAATAATACAGGATGACAATAAGCTACTTGTGAATGCAGGTATCCAAGTTGACTTTTCCAGCACGCGTCCCAGTTGAACAACATGCTAAGAAATTTTTAGGTGTGGACATACGTTGTGCACTTTGACCTTGAATATTAGTTCTAAGGGGCCAGCATCTGCTACCCTACTTAAATGATTAAAAGTAATGCTTGCCAACAACAAAACAATGGCCGCACGGCAAGTCTGGCTCTCATCCAATGTGTCCAATGTTTGCACTTCTTACTTTCATTAGTGATGAATTTGACAACTACCTCAACTTCCTCTTTATTTACATGTATAATTGTATAATAATTTGCTTTTTGCAATTTAGTTGATAGCTGTCCATTGTTAAACTCCGTTAAGATCTCCTCAAGTTTATTCATTTGGTCTTTCATTGCATTGTGCGTGCTGCCCACAACATGATTGTAAGTTCTTGAAGCAAAAAAAGCCGAGAGTGAAAACCTCAGTCCTTCGTGGACTTACTAGGGACCACGAAAGAAGTACTAGTTAGATTTTATTGAAATTTTGCACTTTCAAACAAATGCAATAGACAACATTATGTGCAAATTTTCATAACGTTTCATAATTGGTTGCAGAAGTTATAACACTGTACTTCAGAAAGTATGCTGTGCCCACGATATAGCAATATAGATGCTGGCGAGACACAGCAATGGAGAGTGCACTTGGCCCTTGCCAAAAGATTAGTATACAGCTTGGCCCATACAGCTTATTGAATCACTGGCACTTTATAGAACGCAAACGTAAAGCTTGTTGCAGCACTATTTCAATGTATTGTGGCATACCTGCATCGTTTTCCAAGCTGTGGGAAAATTTAGGTATGGATAGAGTGTAATAGCAAGCTCATCGGACGCTAGAGATCTCTTGATACTTCTGTTATGTACAACAATGCCAAGTGAGTATAATGCTGTTATGCGACTGAAGGACGATAGTCATTGCCTACAAGGTCTGCTGAAACACACAGTGCAGTTTCAAATTCTGTATGTGCTGCCTGCGGCTATTTTTATTATTTGGATAAATGTGGGCTGAAATAATGTGAGTCTCAAGGTTGAAATGTCTAGTTATTTTCAGCACGATCTAGAGCTCAGCCCTTTTCATGCCATTGTTACAGCTGCTGAGGAGAGTTGACAATGGCACTACATTTTTTTTTTGTTTTTTTTCTTTTCAATGGGTAATACATTATTAATTATTGAGGTTTAACATTCAAAAACCACCATATAATTATGAGAGATACCGCAGTGGAGGGCTTCGGAAATTTCGATTACCTGGGGTTCTTTAACGTGCACCTAAATCTAAGCACATGGGTCTCAAGCATTTTCACCTCCATGGAAAATGTAGCCGCCCAACCGGGATTTGATCCCAGTGACCTGCGTGTCAGCAGCCGTCTTTTCAGTGGGTGACCACGTGGTTACAGAACATAGAAACTACTGTGTTGTTGTTTGGCAGCATAGCGACTGTGCTTTTGTCTGTGGCCTTTGCGAACTCGAAATTTTTTCCAGTATCAAAACAAAAATTATACTCCCCACATTATTTTTGTTGCATATTTTTTTATTGGCAGAGACCAACCTTTGTACCATCGTCATTTCCCTTCCCCTCCTAAGTGTCCTATGTCATGGTTAGAAGCGACAGTGAAAATCTCAAAGAGCTCTCGCATACTCACAGTGGCATCTGTCGCAGCCTCTGGGTCTTCTGTAACTGAAAAAATGGCGTTCTTAAAGAAAAAAAAAAAAAATCTGGTTCAATCTTTGCGGCACGCACATTAGGTACGTGCGTGCTCCCATGAAGTCCCATTGTACGGTCGAACCTCTTTATAAGAGACACTGATATAAGAGACAAATGGGTATAAGAGACACCAGGGTGCCTACAGTAAAATACGGGTTGATAAGAAAATGCATACGTGGTACCCTGCTTATAAGAGACATCTTTTATAAAAGGCAGGAAATGCTGCCCAAAGCATGCCTTTCATAAAGGGGTCTAACGGCACGTACTACAAAAAGTACACCCAGATTTGATTACCCCTCTGAGCAAAACTATGCACTCTATACAGTTCTCGCACTGCACAGTGATTATATTGTTTCTGCTTAAGCACAAGCAATCTGTTTTTTCAACGTATAAATTTTGAAACCTGACACAAGTTTAGGAAAAGGAGTACTGACCACGGGCATTTCACGGGCTCTTGTTTTCCTAAAGTTTAATGACTCTTAGAACAGAAAAAATAGAACAGAGTCAATATGCCAGGTTAGCATCTTCTTGCTGCAACACTTGGCCTCCGAAATTCTAATAAGGAAAATCAGAACATTGTGTTATGTATTTTTTATTCCCAAATAAGGAAGGTGCGCTTTTTAATGTGATTGGTTGTCAATGGGTTAACAGTTCAAGTGTTTGATCTCCAGCTTGCCGGTGGATTGGGTTATCAACTATGTATACATTGCACCCACTCTTGTGCCAATCTTGAATACAGTTTTAAATTTTGATGCAGGAAAACTATTTAGGATTGTCCAGTAGTTTCGAATATCACTTCTCATGCAATGTTGGTGTCTAAACTTACAAAGTCGAGCGCTCGTAACAGTACGAATTTAGTTTTGAGAATGAAAGTATAACTTAACTCGGGAGTATTTTTCTTTTAGAGACGTCAACAAACAATCGTGTTTTTTAGTGAAGTATGACATTTTTCCTCATTTTTAGTCTGCAACCATTTCCAGTAAGTGGTTATAAATTCTGGCAATTACAGAAGCTTTATTACCTGGCCCTAATAAAGTTGCAGTGGGTAAGGCTTTAGTTTGTGATATTTCTCATTGAAAGCAGTTGTGTATAGCTGTGCATAACATAAGAGGCTAATGCAATGTTCTTATTTTTTTTGGCTTTCTTGCTCGCCTAAACAGCAACTACAAAGGAATAAAAAGCTGAATAGACTGGTGCAAGTTCTTCCCCTGTTGAGGCAGCGACTGAGACACATACTGCCTCGACAGCAACGTGCAAAGGATCGCTGTCCCGAGCAAGCCGAAACTGTAGAAGTTCAGCAGCAGTCGAAGCCTACAGAAGAAGTACCTCAGGAAAGGATCCTCAAGCATCCTCAGCAGGATCAGCAACAGTAACGACAATTAGCTTATTGACAGCATGTGTCGACAGAGGGCCTCTGCTGCTACAGCAGCACTGATACCAACAAGCACTCGGTCTCAAAAAAGTCTGTCAAACAGTTTCTTTCCGATGTGTGAAAATGATGAAGTCTTCAAAGCATTTGTTGGTCATGCCGTGGCATTGCATTGGAACCATTGCCTTGGAAAGAGACAGCCCTATTGTTTTTTAGTTAACCCTGCAGTCCTACAGAACTAGTCCATGGCGCACAGTGGGCCACTGTTCATTCCATGATAACTCAGTGCTATGCCTGGAGAGCACTGTTTGTTGCAAGATTGCGGCAAGCGCCTTTGAATTGTGAGCAGGCACATTTAAGCGCAGTGTACAACATACCGGTGTATCTGTCAAAGCACCACTTCAAGTTGCATCGTACCAAAGGCTACAGATGTAAAACCCATTCACCGTTCACTCTGCTTTGGGTGGATTGAGTACACCTGAACCCATGGTAACGACCAACATTGTTGGTAGTTGCCAGAATTTGGTAACCAAGATGACAGCCTCGCTTTCCTGTCGTTATTGACATGGCCCATTGTTGATGCCTCAGACCATGGCAGAACAACAGATGGTGTGAACGTTTAATGTCTTATTGCAGTGCTGTGACTGGGGATCTGTGCACTGGGCCCTTAAGTTGATGCTAGTATATTTGTGAATTCTGGAACTGTGACTTCACAAGTATTCTACTAAAACAACTGGCCTGTCTTTCAGTGCGCATTATTTCTCTTACTTGCAGGTTGTGGCAATGCAACTTTTTTAGATGTGGTCATGTGGTCATCACTGTTGTCCTTCGAGCCTAACATATGTTATCTTTTCTGGCATTTTGTTACTGGCAATGACACAGTTTGCACTGGAGCTGTGTTTCATATCCATCCACCTATTATAAGAATTGTTTTATATTCATGCTTTCAAGATGAACGGTTACCTTGAGGTTACCGTAATCGTACATATTTATGTTTTAGTGAAAATTATAATAAAATGTTTCTTCTCTTGGCTTAATAGTCACTGTTACTTTAAAGCTGCTAATGCTAATAAAATAACAATGCATTTAACAAGAACACATACAGAAACACATATCAACAGAAACATCAAGGGTATGTTGGTTCTTTTTTTTAAAGGCTGCTGTGGAACCCTCTCACCGGTAAATCTCACTTGCATACATGTCCTTTTGAAACTATGTACAATGCTCTTTTTTTTTTTCAAATGGCCCTTAAAAAGGCATTTCAACGCTTTTTCAAGTAACCGTCGAATGGCTTAAGTGAAGGAGTTTATTGCCTCATGTATTGACCGCTTCAAATTTTTTTAAATACATCAAGTATAGTTGGAGTTACACAGAGGTTTGTCTCATGCCATAATTGCTTTCTCTCTTCCCTCGTTCGATGCGCGTGCTGGAAGCTAAGCAGGGAAGGCATGCAGAGGGAAATAAGTTATGTCACGCACGCGTCAGGACCTTGACCACTTTTTTTTTTTTTCGAATGCGTGCCTCACTTTCAGTGCGATCGCTAGCCCGCGACGGCCGTAGCAACTATGCTACTATGCAGCCCGCAACATAGCACCCGAGATTGCGCACTGGGGGGTTTCTCTCTTTCCGCCCTAATCGTGAAAAAAAAAAAAAAAAGAAAAGTTATGTGATTCGTGCGCTCGGCTTTCGCGAGAGGACATGCTAACACCTAGGTTAGATTTCAGATTCAGTAAGGAAAAATAAGCAATCAATATTTTTAATGATAATGAAGGTAGTGAGCTTAGGATACAGGAGGTCACGGTAGAGATAACAGATAAATACAAAGATCTGAGAGTATGGATAAGCAATGGGACCGAGTACCTAAGGGAACACGGGATATACGTAACAACTAAAGGTAACAGGAATGCAGCAGTGATGAAAAATAGGCCACTGTGGAATTACAATAAGTATGACGTTGTGAGAGGAATATGGAAAGGGGTCATGGTTCCTGGTCTGACGTTCGGCAATGCGGTCTTGTGCATGAGATTAGAAGTTCAAGCAAGATTAAAAATTACCCCAGGTGGTCGAAACTTCCGGAGCCCTCCACTACGACGTCTCTCATAATCATATGGTGGTTTTGGGACGTTAAACCCCACATATCATCAAGATTAAAAATTACGCAACGTGGAATAGGTAGGCTTGCCTTAGCAGCTTACAGGAATACACCAAATCAGGGAGTACAAGGTGATTGGGATGGACATCATTTGAGGGCAGGGAAGCTAGCTGCAAGATAAAATTTGAGAAGCGATTGAGAGAAATGGGGGAGGAGCAGTTGGGCTAGAAAGTTATTCAGCTACTTGTACATAAAGAATGTTCATACAAAATAAAGGAAGCGAACCAGAAAATTGACTGGTAAATACTTATATAACAGCAGGGGGCCAAACCAAAAACAACTATCGGTGAAGATTTAGGCGAAGGAAACGAAGACTGATATGTGGAAAATTGGCATCATATAAGAAATCCGCACTATAGATCTATGGAACTTTTAAGCAGGAAATTACCAAGGAAAGGATCCATGATAATACTCGTGGTAGTTCTTTACTCTTTGAGGCCAGGATGGGAGTATTGCGAACCAAGGCATATCGGGCAAAATACGAAGGGGTAGACACGGTATGCAGTGGGTGTGGAGAGGAGGAGAAAACTGCCGAACACTTGATAATGTTCTGTAAAGGGCTTCACCCTATAATTTAGGATGATGGCGCAGAGTTTTTCAAAGCACTGGGGTTTAGGGACAGGGAAGGGCAAAATAGACTTCAAGCGGATAGAATTAACTAGATTGAGGTTATCTGATTGATGGATAAAGTCAAGGCACGAGTAAAAATTAAACCCTTCTCTGCAAAGTACGAGTCCTCAACCTCACTATTTAAAGGGAAAAAAAAATCTACTTTTTGGTTCACTAAGTATTATGGCTAGGTGGCGTTAGCCGCTGCCTGATCTAAAGGGTACAGTCATATCAATCCATCCATTCAATCAGCGAGTAGGCAAGGTCGTGCAAGTTCGAGCAGGTATCCAAGCCCACAGAGGTAAAACGGGGGCTTAGACAGGGTTGTCATCTGTCTTGTTATTCATGATGTACCTACAAGGATTAGAGGCCAAATTACAGGGAAGTGGATTGATGTGGCTGTACCCTTCAGATCAGGCAGCGGCTAACGCCACCTAGCCATAATACTTGATGAACTAACAACTAGATTTATCTTTTTTTTCCTTTAAATAGTGAAGTTGAGGATTGGCACTTTGCAGTGAAGGGTTTAATTTTCACTCGTGCCTTGACTTTAGCCATCAATCAGATAACCTCCTCCTAGTTAATTCTACCCGCTTAAAGTCTATATTGTCCTCCCTGTCCCTAAACCCCAGTGCTTTGAAAAACATTGTCAAGTGTTCGGCAGTTTCCTCCTCCTCTCAAAATGCACTACATTCTGTGTGTACCCCTTCGTATTTGGCCCGACATGCCTTGGTTCCCAATATTCCTGTCCTGGCCTCAAACAGTAGAGAAATATCCCGAGTATTACTATTAATCCTTTCCTTGGCAATTTCCTGCTTAAAAGATTGATCGATCTCTAGTGCGGACTTCTTAATCATGCCGATTCTCCACGTGTCAGTATCCGTTTCCTTGACCTTCTACTTAACCAATAGTTCTTTTTAGTTTGGCCCCCTACCGTTTTCTAAGTATTTACTTGTCAATTTTCTCGCTCGCTTTCTTCATTTTGTATCGACATTCTTCATGTACAAGTAGCTGAAAACCTTCCTAGCCCAACGCTCCTCCCCCATTTCCCTCAATAGCTTCTCAAATTTTATCTTGCTGCTAGCTTCCCTGCCCTCAAATTATGTCCATCCCATATAACCTTGTAATCCCTGATTTGCTGTATTCCCTTAAGCTCCTAAATCAAGCCTACCTATTCCACGGTGCTTAATTTCTAATCTTGCTTGAAGTTCTGATCTCATGCACAAGACCGCATTGCCGAACGTCATACCAGGAACCATGACCCCTTTCCATATTCCTCTCACAACATCATACCTATTGTAATTCCACAGTCCCCTGTTTTTCATTACCGCTGCATTCCTGTTACCGTTAGTCGACACGTATATTTCGTATTCCCTTAGGTACCCGGCCCCATTGCTTATCCATACGCCCAGATATTTGTATTTATCTGTTATCTCTAGCGGCACCTCCTGCATTTTAAACTCACTACCTTCATTGTCATTAAAAATCATGACTGCTTATTTTTTCTTACTGAATCTCAAATCGAACCTATTTCCCTCATTACTGCAGATATCCATCAATCTCTGCAAATCTTCCTTGTTGTCGGCGATTAGCACTATATCATCTGCGTACATCAATGCTTTGTAGTGCCTGTTCAATGAGTTTTCCTTGTTTGACGAAAGAGAGGTTGAAGCCCAGTCTACTTCCCTCTAATTTGGCCTCTAATCCTTGTAGGTACATCATGAATAACAAGAGTGACAGAGGACACCCCTGCCTAAGCCCCCCGTTTTACTTCTGTAGGCTTGAATACCTGTTTTTCCCTATGTATAACTGCCTTGTTACCTTTATAGATATCTTTTAAAAGATTAGTGACTACGTCTTTCACACCTAGTGTGTCCATTATTCCCCACAATTCCTCTTGAACCACGCTATCGTATGCTTCCTTGATATCCAAAAATGCTAGCAACAGGGGCCTCTGTTCCTGTTTTGCTATTTCGATGCACTGCGTCAGTGAGAACAGATTATCTTCCAACCTCCTGTGCTTCCGAAACCCATTGTGTAGTTCCCCAGCACCCCTGATCCTCTATCCATGCCTGCAGTCTTTCCTTTATAATCTGTATCGCCAGCCTGTAGACCACTGATGTCACTGTTATAGGACGGTATTTGTTTGTCAGTTTTGTCCCCCTTTCCTTTATAGATCATGTTCATCCTGCTAAGTTTGCATCGATCGGGGACTTCACCATCGATTATTATTTTGCTCACTGCCTCTCTCAAAGCCTGCTTAGATTTCGGACCTAATGTCTTTATCAGCATAATTAAAATGCCATCTGGGCCTGTTGATGTACTACTAGAAACCCTCTTCTCAGCCCTTTCCCACTCTCGTTGTGAAAATGGAGCCATTGTGCCACTTGATTCATCCTTGTCTATTGTGGTGCATAAAGCACTTCTTTGTTAAAATTGTTCTGTCACCCTTGACCTTATATATTCAATAGCTTCGTCCCCTTCTAGCCTAGCACTTTGAGGTGTAGTTATAAACCTCTGCTCTAGGCTTGTCTCATTTCTTAGGGAGCTTCGATGATTCCAAAATTTCGCAGCTGCCTTTCTATCTTCTTTATGTACTTCTGCCAGCCACTGAGCTCCCTTTCTTCTAATCTTTTCATTGATCAGAAGGGATGCATCCCTTCTACAGCTTAGAAAGGTTTCCCATTTTCTTTCAACATCATCTGTCGGTTCACCCCGCTGCTTAGCATGTCTGTGTTCCCTAGAGGCTTCCTGACGTTTTTAATGAGAAACCCATATTAAACGCGCTCTCTAGCGGTAGCCGGGCGCGCGAGGCGAGACTCGCCACGGCCAGGCTAGAATTACTAGAATTATGCACCTCCACGCTCTCTTCTTACGGCCTTCGCAACGGGTGTAGTACATGCCTCTCGCCACTCCTTTGAGGTGGGCGCTGCGACCCTGCCATTTTTCGCCGCTCCAGACAGCGCGCGAAATCATGAGTTCGGGTGCGCTTTTCCTATATATAGTGCTAATGGCCGACAACAAGGAAGATTTGCAGAGATTGGTGGACATCTGCGGCAATGAGGGAGATAGGTTAGATTTCCGATTCAGTAAGGAAAAATCAGTCATGATTTTTGATGACAATGAAGGTAGTGAGCTTAGAACACAGGAGGTCATGCTAGAGATAACAGATAAATACAAATATCTGGGCGTATGGGTAAGCAATGGGGTCGAGTACCTAAGGGAATACGAAATATACGTGTCGACTAAAGGTAACAGGAATGCAGCGGTAATGAA